GTAGTTTTACACTATTATTTATTTATTTATTTATTTATTCATATTCGGGACACGTACAGGAAAAAATCCCAAAAAAGTGTCCACTACGATAATATAAAAGAAAAGAAAACAGACTACATAAGAAAGAACAAAAAAAAAACTAAAAAATTTATCAAAAGCATGAAACAAAAAAAAAATGGAATTAAATCAGCAAGCACGAAGCAGAAAAGAAAATAAACACAGCGACTGGATTGCTCCACATAATCATCGATATTACGCGGATAGAAAAACAGAATAATAAGGACCATAAGAAAGGACAAATTTATGTTGCTTTTCTTCTCTGCCCCACCACCCGCAAGAAATCAATATAAATATGGTAAACGAATGTGTTTCGATCGAGTAAATTAATTTTACAAAGAAAAAACTAATGACAAATACTTAAAGTTAAAACGGATTTTTTAAACGACATCATTGAATTACAAAAGAAATCAACATTGAAACAATAAACATTGCAAGTGTGCATCAGTCTCAACAGAGGTGAACCGGCATGCGCACTAGATCCAGAAGCAGGTAGTCTGANATATTCGTTGTTTTTATGCTGGTTGAACGATTTTCTTCGACAATCTTTGTTACTTGTTTTGTTAAATTATTAATAAACTGTATTAATTAACTTAATATTATCTTATTATTTATTAAACTTCATCATAACCATGGTAATCATATAATTACTGCATCTAAATCGTTAGAATTAATGATTTTTACAATACGCTGATGCAGCTTTGTACAATCGTTGCGGGACACCTGTATAAAAAATTTGTGTCTTTCTCAAACTGTTTAGCAACTATCGCCGGGATACTAATAACTCACCCTGTATAAGTATCATGATGATTTGGGATGATAACTAAAAGACTATCATGTTTGATGATGAATTTTATATCTAGCGAAAGCTGTTATTTATTTATTTAAGCTTTTCTTGCACACCAAAAAATGTTTAAACCCTCTTTATGATTTTACCTAATTCCGCTCTATGTTGAGCGATTAACACTTCAATTTTCTGTTGCGAATCCTGTGCCATTTTCTCTTTAACCCACTCTAACGAGGCTCGTAGAGTACAAATTTCTGCAAGATAAGCTGTTTCGGCTTCTTTTAACTTGCTACCGTTTTCTTCTTTTAATCTTTCTAACAGATTATATATTTATATTACAGACATAAATTCTAAATTCTATTATTAAGTTAAATATTTTAATTCTCATTAATTTCTTACCCAATTCATCTTCGTGTACTTGAACCATTTTTTCAAAATTATTATGATGAACCATGTCGATTTTATCCATAACTCTTCGTAATTCCATAATATCCCTATCTGTTTTCGATTGTTGTTGTTCCATTTCCGATCGATAACGATTTTCCGAATCTTTTATCGTCTTTTTTAAACTAGATATCTAAAAATAATTAAAATTAATTAAATAATAATATTTTTTTTAAATGATTTAAATTTACTTCTTTTAAAGATTCCTGTAATTTTTCTTCCCATTTTATTTTGTGTTCGCTTAATTCATCGTCTTTTTGTTTCCTTATCGTTTCCATAGCGAAAGCTTTTTCCTCATTATGTAATTGTTCCAATTCGAATTTTAATCTCCCACATTCGTGTAAAAGCCTTTCTTCCCAGTACATAGCGATTTCGGTTTTTTTCTCTTCTAAAGTGTTGTGGAGTTTTCGTTCTTTATCGACGAGTTCTTGGTGGTGTAGTCTTTGAATATGTTGAAGATTTTCTTTTTCCGTGTCGATTAATTTCCGTAATCTGGTCGATTCTTCTTTTAACATTAATCCGGCGTGTTGCATTTGCGCTTGTTGTTCGGTCATTAGTTTAATACATTTTTCTTGTTCTTGAGTAACCCCGCGTAACTCTTCGATTTGAGTTTCGTACGATTTTAAATGTTGTACTTCTTCCATGATTTCGTGGGCCATTTTAAGTTTAATTTCGGCGTCTTTACACGCTTCTTGTAATCGATCTTCAATGTCTTTGTCTTTATCTTGTAATTTTTTCTTACACAATTGTTCGACTTCTCTTAATTTCCATTCGAAATCTTCGAAAGTTTGTTGCTCTTTGATTATGTTAACGGTGCGTAATTTCTCGAATTCTTGTTCCCACTTTTTTTCAACATCCGATTTTTTCGATAAAGCTTCTTCTAAAGCTTGTTCGATTAACTTTTTTTGCTCTTCTTTTTCGTTTAAGATAACTTCGTGTTCTTTTTCTAATTTGTCCTTTTCTGAGCATAATTCTTCAACTTGATTTTGTAATTTTTTTATGTTTTCTTGTAAATCTTTGATTACTCCTTCTAATTGTACGATTTTCGCTTTTGTGTCGTTCTCGTATTCAAGAAAATGTTGGGTTTTTGTGTTATTCTCATCTTGAAGTTCGCAAGTTTTTTGTTTTAAACTTAACGATTCATCCTCGATTTGTTTCAACTTCGCCCTAAGTGTATCGGATTCTTTGTGAGCTGCTTGAAGTTCCGATTGAAGCCCTAAAAATTAAAATTAATTTAATTAAATTGTATTAAACAAATTAAATCTTTACTATCAAGTCCAGCAGATTTTGTAAAAACATCTCTTTGAAGCTCCTCAAGTTGAAATCGAAGTTTACTCGCATCAGCATCTCTTTGTGCAACTTGTTGATTTAGTTCGTTGAGTTGCTTTTGAAATTTCGCTTCTTGGTTTATAAGGTTTTTCCTGTAAACATAAATTATTATTAACATAAATATTTTTCTTTTTCAATAACCATAAAGATTTTCTTTTTATAACTACATCAAAGAAATGACGTGTTTATCACATTCACAAAAAAAATGGGTGATTTTCGTTTTCATTCACGCTTTTTTATGTAAACATTCGAGTTGGGTGTTTTTACCGATTTAAAAATAAAGCGTAACGATTGGAAAAATTAATGTTACATAATTGTTTTATACTTTTATGTATTTATGGTCTCGTTAATAACATAACTTGGCCCGCGATTCTTAATCACTATAATCTTGGCTCTAACTCTAACCTTAACTTTTATCCAGGTGAAAATATTTATTGGAATAATCAGGTGCGTTCGTAAAATCGAATCTTTTACAAATAATTTGTTAAACGAGGTTGAGGTCGCGGCTATTTTTGAAAAGATATTTTGAATTGTTCGTTTCTGAACGTCTTTCAACGTAATTATAGAGGGATATCTTTGTAGCTTGTGTTGTGGTATTGTAATGCAGCTCGGATTTATAAATAGATTTCTTGTTAATATTTTGTGAGTTGCTGAAATTGAGTTTGTTTCATCAAAAATATGCTTCAAAAACTTCAATATCATTACATGGAATTTTAATTATACTTCAAACAAAATTTTAGTTGAACTTCCACCGGAAAATGACAGAATTTGGCTAAAATTCCATGATATAAAGTGCACAATTCTTCAACTTCAATATTATTATGTAGAATTTTCCTGCGATTCGATAAATATATGTTGCAACTTCATTATTGCTAAATGGAATTTAGAGAAAACTTCATACTATTCTTATAATTGTCAAAATTCGATAAAACTTACCAAAATAGCAATAAAATTATTGAAGTTTTGGTGGAAAATGTGGAACTTCAATGAAATTCTTTGAAATTACACTAAAAATTCTTGTAATTTCAATCATTAGGTAAAATTAGCAAAATAGCATAACAATTGTTGAAGATTTAGTGCTAACTTTCGAAATTTCAATAAAATTATTTGGAATTATATCGAAACTTCACCAAATTCATGGAATTTTATTCATATTTCCTAAAAATATTCTGAAAATTCAATTGAATTTTGATAAACTTTAAAAACTCACAGAATTGTCGAAAATTCATGAAGTTTCTAGAATTTACACCAAAATTCCATAAAAATCTGAGTGATTATTAAATCAAAATTCATATTTTTAAATTTCAAAAATTAGCTAAAATTCTATCATAAATACTTAAAAAATGTAGTAAAATGAATATAAATGACTAAAATAGGAATAAAATTATTGAATTTTTAGTGCCGATAAAAGTGCCGAACTTCTTGCAATTAAATCGAAACTTCATAAAATTCTTGAAATTCCAGGAAGTTATGGGAAATACATTCACAATTCATAGATTTTTACTTGCATTTATCAAAAATAGTCTTAAAATACAACATTATAGCATGGAATTTTGATAAAACTTCATGAAACACTCAAAATTGTTGAAAATACTTGAAGTTTCAGTGGAACTTCAATAAAATTCCATCTTGGCTATATTAAAAATAAACAATATTCTAGAATTTGTAATAAAATTCCATAAAAAATATATAATAAGAATATACTTGATATATTTAAATTCTACTAGAAAATGTAGAAATTAGCTACAATTTTAATATATTAGGGTAAATAAATACACAAATCATAAATTTCTTATCGAATTCAACAAAAAATACGTTCAAACTTCAATATTATTGTATGGAATTTTGATCAAACGTCCCAAAATTCTTAAAATTGTAGTAAAATCAATCAAAATTACTAAATTAGCAATAAAATTTTTCAGAAAACACAAAATTCTTGAAATCTAAATAAAATTCCATGAAGTTGTGGAAGTTATATTCACAATTCTTGTAATTTTATATGTATTTATTAAAAATAATCTGAAAATTCAAGATTATTACATGGAATTATTGAGGTTTTAGTGAAATTTCAATAAAATTCCGTGTTAGGTTCAATAATATTTTAGAATTTGTATTTTAGCGCAACCTTACTGACTTTAACTTATCTTAGTTACAGGATAAGTTGTTTCAATAAAATGTTTTTTCGAAGACATATTATTCTGCATTCCCAGAGTTAGATTCACCGCGCTACCTGGGACTTGCTGCTGGGGTTGCCCAAAAAACTTAGTATATTTCAAAATCAGCAACACATCGGATTACAGCGTTACTTCCTTCTTTAGTAAGACTGATTTAGTTTGACTGATCAAGAATAGTCTTAAAATACAACATTATAGCATGGAATTTTGATAAAACTTCACGAAACACTCAAAGTTGTTGAAAATACTTGAAGTTTCAGTGGAACTTCAATAAAATTCTATCTTGGCTATATTAAATATAAACAATATTCTAGAATTTGTAATATACTTGATATATTTAAATTCTACTAGAAAATGTAGAAATTAGCTACAATTTTAATATATTACGGTAAATAAATACACAAATCATAAATTTCTTATCGAATTCAACAAAAAATACGTTCAAACTTCAATATTATTGTATGGAATTTTGATCAAACGTCCCAAAACTCTTAAAATTGTAGTAAAATCAACCAAAATTACTAAATTAGCAATAAAATTTTTCAGAAAACACAAAATTCTTGAAATCTAAATAAAATTCCATGAAGTTGTGGAAGTTATATTCACAATTCTTGTAATTTTATATGTATTTATTAAAAATAATCTGAAAATTCAAGATTATTACATGGAATTATTGAGGTTTTAGTGAAATTTCAATAAAATTCCGTGTTAGGTTCAATAATATTTTAGAATTTGTATTTTAGCGCAACCTTACTGACTTTAACTTATCTTAGCTACAGGATAAGTTGTTTCAATAAAATATTTTTTCGAAGACATATTGTTCTGCATTCCCAGAGTTAGATTCACCGCGTTACCTGGGACTTGCTGCTGGGGTTGCCCAAAAAACTTAGTACATTTAAAAATCAGCAACACATCGGATCACAGCGTTACTTCCTTCTTTAGTAAGACTGATTTAGTTTGACTGATCAAAAATAGTCTTAAAATACAACATTATAGCATGGAATTTTGATAAAACTTCACGAAACACTCAAAGTTGTAGAAAATACTTGAAGTTTCGGTGGAACTTCAATAAAATTCCATTTTGGCTATATTAAAAATAAACAATATTCTAGAATTTGTAATAAAATTCCATAAAAAATATATAATAAGAATATATATAAGAATATACTTGATATATTTAAATTCTACTAGAAAATGTAGAAATTAGCTACAATTTTAATATATTAGGGTAAATAAATACACAAATCATAAATTTCTTATCGAATTCAACAAAAAATACGTTCAAACTTCAATATTATTGTATGGAATTTTGATCAAACGTCCCAAAATTCTTAAAATTGTAGTAAAATCAATCAAAATTACTAAATTAGTAATAAAACTTTTCAGAAAACACAAAATTCTTGAAATCTAAATAAAATTCCATGAAGTTGTGGAAGTTATATTCACAATTCTTGTAATGTTATATGTATTTATTAAAAATAATCTGAAAATTCAAGATTATTACATGGAATTATTGAGGTGTTAGTGAAATTTCAATAAAATTTCGTGTTAGGTTCAATAATATTGTAGAATTTGTATTTTAGCGCAACCTTACTGACTTTAACTTATCTTAGTTACAGGAAAAGTTGTTTCAATAAAATGTTGTTTCGAAGACATATTATTCTGCATTCCCAGGGTTAGATTCACCGCGCTACCTGGAACTTGTTACTGGGGTTGCCCAAAAAACTTAGTATATTTAAAAATCAGCAACACATCGGATCACAGCGTTATTACTTCCTTCTTTAGTAAGACTGATTTAGTTTGACTGATCAAAAATAGTCTTAAAATACAACATTATAGCATGGAATTTTGATAAAACTTCACGAAACACTCAAAGTTGTAGAAAATACTTGAAGTTTCGGTGGAACTTCAATAAAATTCCATTTTGGCTATATTAAAAATAAACAATATTCTAGAATTTGTATATAGTTCCATAAAAAATATATAATAAGAATATACTTGATATATTTAAATTCTACTAGAAAATGTAGAAATTAGCTACAATTTTAATATATTAGGGTAAATAAATACACAAATCATAAATTTCTTATCGAATTCAACAAAAAATACGTTCAAACTTCAATATTATTGTATGGAATTTTGATCAAACGTCCCAAAATTCTTAAAATTGTAGTAAAATCAATCAAAATTACTAAATTAGCAATAAAATTTTTCAGAAAACACAAAATTCTTGAAATCTAAATAAAATTCCATGAAGTTGTGGAAGTTATATTCACAATTCTTGTAATTTTATATGTATTTATTAAAAATAATCTGAAAATTCAAGATTATTACATGGAATTATTGAGGTTTTAGTGAAATTTCAATAAAATTCCGTGTTAGGTTCAATAATATTTTAGAATTTGTATTTTAGCGCAACCTTACTGACTTTAACTTATCTTAGTTACAGGATAAGTTGTTTCAATAAAATGTTTTTTCGAAGACATATTATTCTGCATTCCCAGAGTTAGATTCACCGCGCTACCTGGGACTTGCTGCTGGGGTTGCCCAAAAAACTTAATATAAGTACAAAAACGCATTTTGTTTTTTATCTCCAACATGCTCCAATACGACATTTGGCCCCTGAATATCACATATATGGTGGACAGAATTATCGGAACCAAAACTGATAGAAAGTTCAAACATGGTTCAGAATGGCGTATAACGTCATAATATCACGTTTTTTTACAAGAGGGTAATAAGGCCCGGCTGATAATAAGGCCCATGTTCGAAAATCGCGCCAACAAGCATAAACGAGGCCAGCATTCGAGTCAAGACGAAGCACAAATATATGTAATTGTTGTCACGATTATAATTGCGTTTGTTAGGGTAACCGTTCATGTGGTAGTGATAGCGAAGATTTATAAGCTATTGGTTTTATAAGTCATTGTCGAGAGTGTCGACTTGTGAGCCTGTAACGTAAGTAATTACATATTTTACACTTGGTGGCAATGAAAGGGCATTAAATATGCTTATGATTGCTAATATTGCTAATGTTAGGTTATGTGTGGTTTCCGCGCAAACATTTTTTCTGATTAACGCTACTTGTGTGGAAATAACGCCCGGGCCTTATTAACAGAAAGCAACCCTGGGCCGTATTTCTAGGCAGTTAGGCCTTATTTTACAACACGCTAACATTCCGAAACTGTGTTTTGATACTTAGATGGGAAAACCGTGTAGAGGTATCCGAGCCAATTGGACCTCAGAAATGATGGAAGAAGCCCTTCAACTCCTTCAACAAGGACTTTCCCAGAGGGAAGTTGAAAGGCGTTCGGGAATTCCGCCGCGTACGTTAAGAGCTCGTATGCAGAGTGGATCTACAGAAAGATCATTGGGAAGGAAACCAATTTTATCAAAGCAACAGGAGGAAGATCTAGAAAACAGAATAATCCGACTGGCGGAAGTTGGTATACCCTTGACACCTAAATCACTTCGGAGAAATGTATACAGTTTCATTAAGGCAAACGGAATTAACTTGAAAAAAAAGAAAAATAACCAAATTCTTGGAAAGGATTGGTTCAGCGCCTTCCTAAAACGTCACCCACGTTTAAGTAAGCGTCGCGCACAGTGTATGAATCCAACAAGAGCTCAGAAATTAATTCGTTTCATTGTTAACGATTATTTCAGAAAATTACGATTCACTCTTGAAAAGAATAAAATGTTACATACACCTGAGCGAATTTTCAATATGGATGAAAAGGGCTGCCGCTTAACATTGCATCATCAGCAATCCGTGTTGGCCCTAAAAAGAACCAAAAGAGTTCATCTTGTAGCCCAAGAACATGCGGAAAACTCAACTGTTGGGGCATGCGTTAACGCTTTGGGTAACGCAATACCACCCATGATTCTTTTTAAGGGCATACGTCAGAAACCTACTTTTCAAGATGGTCTTCCTGCTGGGTCAACTGTGTTAATGAGCCCAAAAGGTAGTATGACCACCGAACTGTTTTGCAAATGGCTAGAACATTTTGCAAAGTACAAACCCACAGGCAAAGTTGTTCTGATTTTTGATGGTGCTACGTCGCATCTTGATATGATGGTTGCACAGAAGGCTGAAGAATTGGAGATTCTTCTGTTTTGTTTACCTAGCAATACCACCCATGAATTGCAGCCGCTGGATCGAGCAGTGTTTAGGTCCTTTGAACATTTCTGGGACGAGGAGTTGATGACGTATTGGGATCAAACACAAGATGACTAAAGACAGATTTTCACCTATCTTTACACCGGTATGGAAAAAGTGTATGTCCGTAGCCAACATTACCAGTGGCTTTAGAGTTACTGGCATATACCCTTTCAACCCTCGAGCTATTTCAGACGGGACGTATGCACCGTCTTCGGTATGTAGGCCTGTTGACAAATTAAAAAAAATTCTTAGGTGGCCCTTATTACCTTCTTGTACCTTATTTCAAAATCAGCAACACATCGGGACTTCCGTTTTAGCAATGTAGCTGCTTCATCTTTTCCAAGATGGCGAGATAGCCACAATGTAGTTTTATGGCATTATTGCTTCAAACCCCAGATTACTCACTACTAAATTAATCAAACAACAAATTCCGCGTCTTACATTCAATATTATTACAAAAAATTTTCATGAAAATCGTAGACTCGTTATGAAATCGAAGAAATCTTCAAAACTTGTAAAAATGTTAGTAACAATTGTTTCAATTTAATAATGGTGTGATATAACTTCAATATTATCATGCGAAAAAACTTGCAATAAAATTCTCTCAATCTCATCTATGAAGAAGATGAAATAAAAAAAAATTTGAACTATAATTAAAACATACTTTATTCCTTCTTCTTGTATCTTTTTAAATCCCACATTGTCTGGAGCATCTACAGGTTGAGTGTCAAAACCATTACATTGAACAGGGACCAATAAATTGCCACTTAGCTTTCTTTTATTGCCGATTTCTATTTTCGGGCTGTCTGGTGGCGTATCGTTTTGTTGCCTTTTCTTAACCGGTACTGGAATTTTAGGCGAAATCGCTACCGTTCCATGTCCACATGGTTTCACACTAATCGGCGATTGTCTCGGAGTAACACTTTTCGGACACACATCCCCGTTTTGAACCATTCTTTTCGACATTTTTAATTCGTTGCTTTGAGTTTCGTTCGAAATTTTCGTCGTCGAATCGTAATTATCACCGCTACCAACACTGTCACTGTCGTCCCCGAAACTATTTCGTACACCTTGCGGTGTATTTTCTAATATTTGACATTGCGTATTTTTAACCGGCCGTTTTGGCTCCTCTTGTAACTCTTTATTATCTCTTTTTTCGCGCAGATCTTTTTTCGATTTACGAAAAAAACTAAACATTTTTTTTTCTAAAAACCTTTCCTTTCGACGGCTAAGTCCCAACTGCACTAAAACTTCTCCTGTATAATTCTATTTCACGACGAGCTTCTCGTTTATATATAGCGAGAGAGTTAAAAACGAGAGTTTTGTGACCGATTTGTTTCTTTTTGAGTCATCGTCAAAGTCCGATCTTGACTAAAAGACCGATCTACTTTGACTGAATTCAAATAATCGATGTTTATTAGTTGGGTTAGCGAAATCGAATTTGAGGAAAAAAAAATTGCGTGGGTGGGGATTTTTGGGTAGTTTTAAAATAGATACTGCGAGAGATTCGTTCCTATTCTTGAGCGGAGTGCGAAATTTAACTCTCGAGTATCGCGAACGCAAACTCCTTTGGTTATTTTTGAACCATTCGCTAAATACCTACGTCATCAAATTACATTTTTTTAATACTTTTTCATTCTAATTAATTATTTTTATTATAAGGCTATCACTAAAACTAACACTTATAAGCATTTTATTGTTTTTGATATTTACAATTTTCCCCTTAATACATTCTAATATATCTTATAAATATATTATTTTCAGCCTCTACCCTCTTCCTCCATTTCCATACCCTCGGCTCCTCGGCCCAATCATCCATTCTCATCCATCGTTTCCCCTCTCCCCCCTCTCCTAAGATATGACCTCGGTCCAACTCCTCCTCCCTCAACTCACTGCACCCATTCAACATATGTTCCAACGATTCCTATTCCTCCCTGCATAGTCTACACCACCTCTCCTCATCGGCCATCCAGTGTCTCTTAGCTCTCACCTCGTTTCCACAACGGAACCTAGCCACCAACTTCTTCCCTTCCTCATCTCCTTCCAATAACAAGTATCTAGGCAGCCCCTCCGTAATTATGTCCCTGTACCTTTCGTTATACCGTCCCTCTTTTATTTGTGTCCTTCTTTCCTGTCTCTGGACATCTCGGTCCCTATCTCTCAACTCCCACCACATCTCCCTACCCACCCTTCGTCGTTTTATCTCAGTTACCGAGTAGCCCGCTCGTCTATAATAGTTGTCTCTGTCTCCTTTCCCATATCTGATCTTTCCCTCTCTAATTTCCCTCCAACATTCCCCCAAGATCCCGCAGTTTGGCCTCCCTTCTATTCTTTCTTCATATTTCACTGCCCTCCTGCCCGCCTCCACTCTGACCTTATCCACCTTTACCTCTTCCCTCACTATAAACCCCGGTGTTTCTCTCGCCACCCCAAGCACCCATCTCCAGTATCTAGCTTGCACGTCCTCCAGCATTGCCTACTTTCTCCATCCCCATACATCATACTGCTAACCAGACCTTCAAACATAAGCTGCCACATTCCTTCCAAAGACTCTCTTCCCCCAACCACATACTTGTCCCATCACCTTATTCGCCTTTTTGCCATAGCTATCACATCCGACCCGTCCCTGTTGTCCTCCCTGAACACATACCCCAAGTAAGTATACTCCCTAACCTCCTCGATCTTGTCTTCCCCACATTCACTTCCAGCCCCTTCCCCCTAAAATATCTCTCCAATGTCTTTATCATATCTTTCATCTCCGCCACTTCTCTCGCCATGACCACCATGTCATCCGCGTATGGTAACATATGCACCTTTCTACCTCCCACCACCAACCCACCCATTTGCCCCTTCCCCAATCTATCCTCCAGGTCCGCCATATACAGTGCAAACAGACTTGGGCTCAGCGGACATCCCTGCCTCAGTCCCTTCGTCGTCCAGAACACGCCGCTCAGCTTATCTCCCACCTTTATCCTAGCCATAGTCTCCATGTATATTTCCTTCACTCTCGCAATTAGGTGTTCCATGATCTCTCCTCCTCCAGTCTTCCCAGTAGTATCTTCGTGTATACCTTGTATGCCGAGTCTAGTAGGTTAATTCCCCTGTAGCTCTCTACCCTTCCCTTATTACCCTTTTTATATACTGGGCAAATTACCCCCACTTTCCATCCCTCCGGAATCCCACCCCCTCTCCATACGCTATTCATCCCCTCCAACAACTTCACTCTCACCACCCTTGATGCTTCCAACCATGCCTCGTTCTGGATCCCATCTTCCCCTGGCGCCTTTCCCTTCTTCAATCCCCTAAGCACTGCTTCCATCTCCTCTTCTGCTATCTCCTCTCCCCGATCTCCCTCATAGCCTCCCAAACCCGTTAGCCTCGTTTCTACCCCTCCCAATAATCTCATAAAGTAACTCTTCCATTCTGTCATGTGTATTTCGCTGATTATCCTCTCCCTACCCTTCTTTCTCTTTTTCAGATACCTCCAAACCTCCCCTTCCCTTGTTAACCCTCTAATCTCTGCCGCCTCCTTCTCCCTCAGTTCTGTTTTCTTTCTACTGCATAACTCTCTGTATCCTCTCCTGGCCTCCCTATATCTATCCACCCCTATCTTCCCCCGTCTCCACTGCCTTAACCTCCTTCTCGCCTCCCTCTTCGCCTTTTTGCACTCGCTATCATACCCCTACGTACACACTCCCTTTTCAGTGTTGCCTCCCCCACTACCTGGATAAGTTCTTCCAAACCATTGATCTCTTGTATCTTCTGTTGTCAAGTGTCGAGGTTTCCCCTGTAGAATGCTATCCCTTCTTCCGACCAGTCTATCCTGATGAACTTGCTCCCCAGTTCCGCTCGCCTTCTGCCGTCCACCCCCTTTACCTCCACCTCCAACGGTTGGTGATCCGACTCTACCGCTTCTCCCACTTTAAACCTTTCCACCCTCTCCCACATTTCCGATTTATGATCCACCATACTAAAACTAACACTTTTAACTTGTTTCTGAAGAACGCACCTTAACCCCTGCTTAACCCGAAAAGTTCTAGTTTTACTTTAAATAATTATTTTTAATTTACTACGATTTGATTTTATTAGATTGGGTTTAATGTAAATGTTTATTAAGTTGAAAAATAGAGAGTTTACGGTAGTGTATTTTCGTTACGTTAGGCGGCCATTTTTTGATTATAACTTATAACGTAACGTAAATTAATTTCTTGAAAACCTGTTTGCGGTTAACGTCGGTGCTTACAATTCAAAATCGAATTCTGATTGGCTCCGTTATTTCAGGAAAATAGTGTAAATAAAGAGTTTGCGATAGTGTGTTTTCGTTACGTTATGTTGCCACTTTTAGGTTATAATGTGAAACATAACCTGAATGTTATTAATTGAAAACATGTGTGGTTATATGCAATTATTTCTTAACATGTAGATTGACATGTGCTAGACCAACAATGACAAAAGTGTATACAGAAGATTTGCACAATCTCATATTGTTTGATATTGATAATGTTGAAGATTTTCTTGTATTTACTTCTTTAGAAAAAGCAGTTAAAGAAAGGAAGACACTGTATTCGGTAGCGAAATTTAATTTTAGTGAACTGTATTATACTTTTAAGGAATTGGAGGGTTGTGCTTATTACTACGCAGGTTTGCTTACCCAAAGCGATTGAAGGAATTGCAGGAAGAATTTGGATTACACTACAGCTCCTTAAGTAAATTATTAAATGAGATAATAGAGCTCATATATGGCAAATGGGGCACACTTTTACTTAACATATCTGAAAATACATGGTTTACGTTAAATTATCAGAAGGAATTGGCCAGAATGGTACATGCTAAGGGCGCTCCTTTAATAAAGTGCATTGGATTTATTGATGGAACTGCTCGAGCAATATATAGACCCACAATAAATCAAAAAGAGATGATAAACGTCTCCATTGCATGAAACTTCAATGTATTACATTGCCAAATGGGATTGTTATCCATACGAGCATGCCATATCCAGGTCGAAGGCATGATGCTTTCATTTTGAAGGATACCCTTATACTAGATCAATTACAGGTATACTGTAATCCATATTGTATTTATGGTGATGAAGGGTACCCTTTAAAGAAACAATTAATACGGCCCTACTCTAGCATTACATAGTCAGAAATGTCCAAAGTTCGGCAATGTGTGGAATGGAGCTTCGGAAAACTTGTGCAACAATTTGCCTATCTAGATTTCAAAAAAAAATCAGAAATTGTATTTACAACCTGTTGGAAAGTACTATCTTGTTGCAGCACTTTTAACGAATGCCCATACATGCTTGTATGGCAGTGTAACTTCGACTTATTTTGATGTAGAACCTCCGTCATTATTGGAATACTTTCTACAGTAAATAACTGTTATAAGTGTCATACTGTGCCGGAACACAGTTCTGTGGATGAATATAAAGAAGTTTCCGGACTTTCTTATTTGGCCACCTGGTACATGAAGCTTGTGGAAATCTATTGGTTATTAAATGAAGACATAACCACAATCGATTTCTAGATGAAACCTTTCAGTATCTTAAAAATCACTTCCACAGTAAATTATATAACTACCCTGTACATAAAAGATGTGTTGATCGAATAATTAATAAAGTTTACACAACTTATGTATGCCAACTTATTTATTTA